ATACAGCCAACCTGAAAGGGACCCCAAAGAAAACAAAATTTACTATGCTTCAATTATGAATGAACACAGTGAGTGACCTCTACCAATCACTCATTGAGTTCATTCAGGAAAGAAAGGGGCTGGAAAATGTGACATATTTACTGGACCCTTCCAGCCACTCTCCATCCCTGAAGTATCCTATTGTGTGCTTGCAGCTGCTGGTCAGAAGGAGAGGAGGGAAGCACTGTGAGGGTGGGGGGCACACAGTGGAGCCTGGGCAGCAGGGGGAACATATGGTGCACAGGGAGGGCAATGCGTTTGGTGGGGAAGAAATTACTGGAAATGATCCCTCTCTCTGCAGAAGCTGAAAGCCAAAAAAAAGGGAGAATAGAAGAAGCCAGCTTCAAGTTGTGGCAAAAAGAGCCATGCAGGGGAATGGTTCCAGTAATTCCCCCCCCCCCCCCCCGCCGTGCTGATCACCCTCCCAGCCCACATCTAATTCACCTGGTTGCTTGGGCCCGCATGCTGGCCTGGGTCCCATACAGAAGAACAAGTGGTACCCCCTTATCCACGGCCCTACCTATGTCAAATGAATACTATATGTCTATATTAAAAGTATTGTACATTTTCAGTGAGCATGTAGTTTGAATTGCTGTTATTACAGTGTTTACATTCCAAAAAAGTGAGGTTTATATATTGCATGCTTACTCCGTTATATTTACTGCATTAAATGAAGAGATTGTAGATTAGCAATTTAGGACAAATAGATCAGCTACAATGAAGACTTTGTCTAAATGCCTAATGGCTTTGAACACAACATATACAGTATTGTAAGTCACACATGGAGTGCATTGATTTTTTTTTACGACTGGTTCATTTGCTTGTGTTGTAAGAAGGTGTAGCTAAATACAACCATTGTGTAGCTTGCATATTTATCTATATAGAAAAGCGGTTTTGAGACATTAATAGACAAGATTGTTTATGTATGTCGAGCTGATTTCTACAGACCAACAAATTTAAAGTGGTATTAAAGATTATGCTTTTTTTTTTTTAAATAACAAACATGTTATACTTACCTGCTCTGCTCAGTGGCTTTGCACAGAAAAGCCTCGATCCTCTTATTTTTGGGTTCCTGCTGGTGCTCCTGGCTCCTCCTTCTTGACCCCTGCCCCCAAATAGCAAGCTGTTTGTTATGGGGGCACTGCTATACGCTCGCTTCCAAGCTCAGTTATTTGTGTCCATAAGACACAGAGACCCACCAATTGCTCCCTTTGCTGTCACAGCCACATACAGAAATATTATTTATGCAGTGCAACCACCAGCATAATATATTTATAATAATATATTTAACAACCACTGGTTAAGTACACCCATTACATTATAGCAATAAGGTCCTCTAAACAGTAGCAACCTGTCAATGACTACGTGGGTGCAAAAGGGGTACTTATATACAATATTTAGGCAACAGGTGTGAGAGCCTTTATCATCATATGTCACCCAAATATATTGCCACTTGATCATCTCTAACCCCCTATCCAACAACAATTCACACCTTCAACTACATCATTTTTTAATAATTACCACCCCAGACTTTATGGCACTATGGTGATTAGACTGTATAATTAAAAGAGGGTGGTTTCACAAATGTGCTTGGACAATTTTATTTGCTATAAATGTTGTGATATGTTCTTATTAGAAATGAATAAGCTTCTTGAATAAGTAGCAACACTGACAGGGAAAGGCAGAGGTTCTGCACATGAAACCCAGTATGGGGCTAGCAGGATCTGCAGGACAAAGCAATGCTCAGGCTACATCATATAAATGCAGGGCTTTTCTGTCTTCCCTGTCTCAGAATGGCCATGCTATACAGCCACAGCACACAAAGGAGGTAGTTTTGTGGCTGACAAAGACTTCCTCTTCTTATTCCTCTTTTTACCGCCAAGTGATTTTCAAGAATAAAGAGGGGATAGATGATAAGGTGGCAGACCTTCCATGGGTGCTTCTGTTTGGAGAGGAGGAAACTTATGAGATACAGAGCAGCAGCAAGGAAGGATTTTGTCCAGGAGCAGGGGCAGGTTGCAGAGGAATGGAGTGAGCAGTCATCCTAACAGGTACATGGTGCAGAAAGCAGGGGCATGGGCAGGTACGCTACAAACCTTTAACAGAACACTGGGTCCATCTTCTGGTGGCTGGAAAGGTTACAAGATGGGCCACACTGCTGGAGCTAGTGGTGCCATCATATGTCTCATCTTATGGAGAGAGAGCAGTCATCTGTACTCCCTCTTCCTCATTGCCTATAGTCTTCAACTCCTGGAACCAGATGTTACCCCAAGAACCCCATTACCTATGCAATATCCTAGTCTAAATAAATGTCTAGTCTAGTCTAAATAAATGTCTAGTCTAAATAAATGTCATAGTCTAAATGTTGAGTTGAAGATAGTTTGTCTTGGGGACAGGAGCCACAATGGACCAGAACTTCTGGCAGCTCGCCAACATTTTTTTTAATTGTGCATAAATACAGAACAATCAAAAGCTGCCTGCCACCTCCTGATTTGTGATACGCTCATGTGCTGGAACCCAAAACTGGCCATGTCGCAGAGGCTGCATCAGCAGCAGCATTCCATCAATGGGTACATATTCAATCACAATATGTAGACAGGCTCTGGAGAACTAGGGTTCTTTTTACTGCATCAGTGATTTGTGATTATGAATGCTTGCCGAATTTTGGCACCTTTTCGAACAGGTAACCAAAATTGTGGCAAGTGACATGGTGGTGGTCAGTGATTCAATCCCTTGTGTTTTTTCTGGAGCAAACACTCCATGGCCCAATAGACCAGGCACTGCAGGTACAGCAGGAGGAAGGGAAGGGCATGGTGCAGTCTTAGGGCCAGTAGGATATTTTTTTTCTATTGCCTCCATCCCTGTGAGGCAAAGGCAGCAAGAGGCAGAAGGAGAAATACAAGAAGGAAGAAGTTTGGGGCAGGGGCGGACTGACAACTCATGGGGCCCCCGGGCAATAGGGGATCATGGGGCCCCTGTGTCTTTGCCCACACTCAAAGCGCACCCAAAAAAGCCTATAAAAAGGTAACAGGGGCATTTCATGGGGCCCCCTACTGACCCCAGGCCCTCAGGCAGTGCCCGAGTGCTCGTGTCAGGAATGGACTTGCCAATAATGGTGGGACTCACCTGCCTTGTGGGCTGCAGTACCAGGGTTGGCCAGTGGGTGCTCTCAGCAATCAGAGACTCAACCCTGCAGTCAGCCAAACACCTGAGGCTGATTGCAGGTGTATTTAAGGGATGGCCAGACCTGCAGTCTGTGCCTTGGTGTGTGTTTTTCCATGGGCCCCTGTATCTTGTTACCTGCATTCCTGTTTCTGTTCCTGTTCCTGTTCCTGCCTGACTGACTCATTGCCGACCCTGCCTGATCCTGACCTCTGCTGACTTCTCCTGTTCGATCCCTGGCTTGTGACCCCGACCATTCTCTGCCTGACCCCCTGTACCTACCTGCCCGTTAGTTGCTGTACCCGGCTCGTGACCTGACTACTCTCTGCCTGCTCCTCCTGTTCCTACCTGCCCGATTGTTATTGACCTGGCCTGCCTGACTACGCTTGCATTGTATGTATTGTTATCTGTGGGTGGTTTGGTTCGTTTGCACTGTGTTTATGTTTTAGTATTGCACTGCGCTTTGTATTGTTAGTATTAATAAATTATATTGTTTATAACATATCTGAAGTCTGCGTTTCCCTGCGTCAGTTCATATACCTCTGGTCATACCCGGAGCCCTGACAATACACCAAGGCCAATCCTGACCAGAAGTGGCTGCACACGGAAGCCATCTTGGCTTATTGCTGGGAAGGATGGATCTTGATGAGGTTGTGTATTTGTCGCTGCTGGTTTTTGATGACAGAGAATATGCTTATCAGACTCTGAGGGAGTATACCTGGGATCAACTGCTAGAATGTATACGGATCGCTCATGTTCTAGTAGATCAGGGCACAGAGTTCTCTGAGGTGCAACCTTTGATTCAGGTTTGTGTAGAGTTGGCTTCATCTGGTACCCCTGAAAGCAGGAATGACTTTTTGCCACCATTTAGTGCAGACCAGGTAGAGTCCCTGGTATGGTTATTAGAGGATGATGTGGATTGCTTCTTGGAGCATTATGCTGCATGTTCACCACAGGTATTAAGGGATTGTATAAACACAGTGCAGTCTTTGACCAGACAGGCTTTGTGTAAGCTCAGCTTTGTTCAACCCATACTGCAGACATGGTCAGACTTGTTGCACCCAGCCTCAGTCAGCTTGCAATGTCATTTCTCTGCTCAAGGCACTCTTCCTGCATTCCCGACAGCACCCCCAGTGACGGCCCAGTATACTCTGCTAACTACCACATACCAGTCCCCTGCTCCCACTCGCTGCACCTATCCTTTCTTTGGCCCTGTGGAGAGGTCCTCTGTGGTGGCTGCTCCCTCCTCTGTTCCATCTTCCAGCTCAGCTGCTCCATTTGTTTGCAGACCTGCGTTTACTTGCAGTGCTCCAGTAGTTAAAACCAGAAAAAAGTGAAAATTCTTTCCAACCAGTACCATCCTGCCAGTATCCAAACCGGTGAGCCTGCCATCTGAGAACCTGCCTTCCGTGGTTCAGCCTGGTGCCTCGGCACCCGCACTTCAGCCTGATGTCTCTACCCAGCCTGATGTCTCTACCCAGCCTGATGATCCTATCACGCCTGATGACCCAGTGCCCGCTGTCATACCTGGTGACCCGATGCCCGCTGTCGAGCCAGACAATCCAATGCCTGATGACCCAGTGCCTGCTGTCATGCCTGGTGACCCGATGCCCGCTGTCGAGCCAGATGATCCAATGCCTGATGACCCAGTGCCCGCTGTCATGCCTGGTGACCCGATGCCCGCTGTCGAGCCAGACGATCCGGTACCTGATGACTCGGTGCCCGCTGTCATACCTGGTGACCCGATGCCTGCTGTCGAGCCAGACGATCCAATACCTGATGACCCAGTGCCCGCTGTCATGCCTGGTGACCCGATGCCCGCTGTCGAGCCAGACGACCCAATGCCTGATGACCCAGTGCCCGCTGTCATGCCTGGTGACCCGATGCCCGCTGTCGAGCCAGACGATCCAACGCCAGATGACCCGGTGCCCGCTGTTGATCCAGACGATCCGGTACCTGATGACCCGGGTGCCGACTGTCATGCCTGGTGACCCGATGCCCGCTGTCGAGCCAGACGATCCAATGCCTGATGACCCAGTGCCCGCTGTCATGCCTTGTGACCCGATGCCCGCTGTCGAGCCAGACGATCCAGCGCCAGATGACCCGGTGCCTGCTGTCGAGCCAGACGATCCGGTACCTGATGACCCAGTGCCCGCTGTCGTGCCAATTGACTCAGAGCCCACTGTCGTGCCTGGTGACTCGGTGCCCACTGACTTGCCAGATGACGCGGTGCCCGCTGTCGAGCCAAATGACCTGATGCCTGATGACCCGATGCCCGCTGTCGAGCCAGACGATCCAATGTCTGACCCAGTGCCCGCGGTCATGCCAGTTGACTCGGAGCCCACTGTCGTGCCTGGTGACTCGGAGCCCACTGCCTTGCCAGATGACGCGGTGCCCGCTGGCGAGCCAAATGACCTGATGCCTGGTGACCCGATGCCTGCTCTGGTGCCTGATGACCCGGTGCCCGCCGCTCCGCCTGGGGGTCCAGTGCCTGCCGCCCCGCCTGGGGGCCCTGTGCCCGCCGCTCCTCCTGGGGGCCTGGTGCCCGCTGCTCCGCCTGAGGGCCCGGTGCCCACCGCTCTGCCTGGGGGCCCGGCGCCCGCCCCTTCGCCTGCCCCTCCCCGCCTGGGGGCCCGGTGCCCGCTGCCCCGCCTGGTGGCCCGGTGACTGCTGCCCCGCCTGGTGGCCCGGTGCCTGCTGCTCCGCCTGGTGGCTCGGTGCCTGCTGCTCCGCCTGGTGGCCCGGTGCCTGCTGCTCCGCCTGGTGGCCCTGGTGCCTGCTGCCCCCCGCCTGGTGGCCCGGTGCCTGCTGCTCCGCCTGGTTGGCCCGGTGCCTGCTGCTCCGCCTGGTGGCCCGGTGCCTGCTGCCCCGCCTGGTGGCCCGGTGCCTGCTGCCCCACCTGGTGGCCCGGTGCCTGCTGCTCCGCCTGGTGATCCCGTGCCTGCTGCTCCGCCTGGTGATCCGGTGTCCAGCCCGATGTGCCTCTGCCCGGTGTCCAGCCCGATGTGCCTCTGCCCTGTATCTTGTTACCTGCATTCCTGTTTCTGTTCCTGTTCCTGCCTGACTGACTCGTTGCCGACCCTGCCTGATCCTGACCTCTGCTGACTTCTCCTGTTTGATCCCTGGCTTGTGACCCCTACCATTCTCTGCCTGACCCCCTGTACTACCTGCCCGTTAGTTGCTGTACCCGGCTCGTGACCTGACTACTCTCTGCCTGCTCCTCCTGTTCCTACCTGCCCGATTGTTATTGACCCGGTCTGCCTGACTACGCTTGCATTGTATGTATTGTTATCTGTGGGTGGTTTGGTTCGTTTGCACTGTGTTTATGTTTTAGTATTGCACTGCGTTTTGTATTGTTAGTATTAATAAATTATATTGTTTATAACATATCTGAAGCCTGCGTTTCCCTGCGTCAGTTCACATACCTCTGGTCATACCCGGAGCCCTGACAGCTCGACTGGTCAGTCCGCCCCTGGTTTGGGGTGATGGGGGAGAGGAGGAGAAAAATATGGGGCAAAATATCTACTGTCACCATCCGAGAAGAAGTTCAAAATGAGGGACTATGTAAGAACCTTGTTGCCACATTTCCTGATGATGGTAGGATCCTTTGTCATAATTAATCTACCTCTGATCCTCTTATTTTTATAAGGAGAAGTAGCAGCCACAGTGGCTGCTTCAGCAATGCTTTTAACAGCTGTTTTAAAACCACATTAGACAGATCCAGCTGGATGCACCATGCACAGGCAGGCACATTACAATGTTTCGGCTATTGACTTCAAGATAATAATACACTCAAATGTTTATTTCAAGATTAAACCTTTTTTGCCTCTCTCCCTAGATGCGTACATGCTGTCCAGGCACCGAACGTAATTTTTTGGTTATTGTTTCTTAAATAATATACTCTAATGTTTATTTAAAGATAAAACTGCTTTATCTCTCTCTCTCTCTCCCTCTACCCCTCTCTCTCCCCCTCTCTCATACTGCGGCCAAGCCAAGCTGCTTACATACTGTCCAGCCACTGAACAATATGTGTGGCTATTGTCTCTCAAATAATACACTATATGTCAAGATAAAACATGTCTCACCTCTACCACTCAAATTGTCAATTTCTACTAAACACATACCTGAAGACTATATATATATATTTTTTTTGGGGGGTAATTAGGTATATAGGGATAAAAGTGATTATGAGGAAAGCCTTGTATTTAAAGTTGTTTTTTTTAAGTTCAAAATAATTAGATCAGGGTGTTGCAGCTATATTTAAGACAAACTAAAGGATTTACACATCAATAGTATGTGATGCTAGAATATGATGATGCTGCCTGTGAAGACCTTATTGTTCCATAATACCACATACATCTTCCAAGCATGTAATTTACAGCTATGTTGCTTTTTTCATGTTGCCTTGAAGACACATTAAAATGAACCTCTCCCTAGTGTACAATATTTAGAAAAATCTATTTTGCTTTACTAAATGTACTCCATGGCAGTCTCCAGCACCCTGTGCCCTTTTCAACAATAGCTTCTGAATTAACCTTGAAAATTACCAGAATTGAGAATAAAAATTCAGCCACAGAAACTTCAATGGAGTTCAATGCTAAGTTTGGGCTAAGCAGCATTCAACCAATCCACACAAATAGAACCTGAACAGATTTGTTCATCCCCTTCATCCCTATACATTGGTCACTGGCATTTCTCTCATTTTATTAATTTAATTACCCCCAATGGTAGTGACCAGCTCCCCAAGAATATTGCTATTCTTAGCGATAAATTGCTCATTGCAATTGAAAATGGCTAGAATTTAATATCAAAATGTATCCCCTATAGACTTCACCAGGTTTTTCGGACATTGAGCAGATTGGAAGAATTTGACCCCCCTGCCAAACAAACCCAGGAAGATTTTCTAATCCTTATCCATTAGCCATTGGCATCTGCTGAATCTTGGTTCATCAACCGCAAATACAAAGCAATAAATAAGACACTTGTTTTTGTTATCCAGTTTTCTACCTTACAGATAACATTTGATTGCAGATGCTTTTTTCTGTTTACTTTTAAATCATATTCAAGTTTATTGATGCATGTAGCACATTACAGAAGAAATGTTATTGAAGTTAGCAATTTTTTTTATCTTTCTACACGTCTACGGTATATTTTACTGGTTTTCCTATAGGCTGTGCATTTCAATTGGTCATGCTTTACTAATATCTATTTTTTTGCTATCGTTTATTCTCTCTGCAGGCATGTGGAAATATTTAACTGCTGTTCATGCCCGGTCCCCAGAGTTAATATGTGAAATACTTTTAAATCATGCAACACAGCTATTGAATGTACATGTTGTTTCCCCTTGCTTGCACTTGACCAAAATAATGGAGGGGAGAAACAATAAATTCTACAAGCACCAATTACTCACACTAAAATGTCAGAACAAGGGTGATCCTCCTGCCCTGAATAAAACACTGAAGGGCAAGAAAGATTATTTTTCAGAGAGCCATTTTTGGAGCCTTGCCACTGGAGTAGTGAGTAATGTTCTCCGCTTATATTCATGTTACAAAGACATTTCTTTAGAATGCTAAAGAGGACTGGTACAACAATAGCAGAAAGAAGTTTGTTTCAAATAAGATAGACAAGATGTTTACTTTGATAATCACAACTCTATAAGATATAAAATGAAATAATACAGTTCTATATGCATGGCGTTTCTTATGTTAGTAACTATTTCCATCATAATTTAGAAATAGAATTAGTTAAGAATCACATATTAATTGTGCTGTAATTGATTGTCCTAGTAAATATGTTAATTTCAGCATATACTGCAGCATTCATGACATTTTAAAAGGGCTGTCTTCTTTATGTGCAGATTGATGCAACCAGTTTTGACAATTACCCTCTTTGTTAAAAATGATATGCCTCACCTAGTTGTACAAATCAGGCTGATAGTTTTGTTGACTATATCTTATTTATAACAGGAGTATTTATATGAAAACCCCCCTTTAAAGCGTTATGCAAGGCAGATGTTGAAATGTAATAATTGATAGCTTGCCACAGGAAAAAACATTTTGTGCATCTTTTTTTTGTTGTGAGTTTTTTTCCCTCTAATTGTACTACTGAGAACTACAGACTGATGTCCTGACATATAGGGGGGTTGGTTTACTAAAGGCAAATAGGCTTTTCACTTTGTAAAGGAATTTAGACTTTGCAAGGGAATTTCTTAGTGCTTAGTGAATGCGGTGAAATTTCACTTTGCAAAGAATACCCAGTCATGTGCAAGGAAAATAAAAAATACATTTTTTTTTTATTAAAGGATAATATTACCTTTGTAAAAATGTTACCCCCATATTTACAGTGTAACATGTAAATGTTCAGCAACTTTCCCCAGCGGCCCTGATCCCCCGTTCTCTATGACAGCATGCAGGGGATCCTCTTCCTACACTCTCTGTCTAAAAATAGTGCCGCTGTGCAAGGCTTCACCTGCATAGCCACTTCTTTTATTCACAGGAATCTGTAAATGAAAAAAACTACAAGTCTCATCTTCCACTGAGGCAGACAGACTTGCACACTGCATGGGCTGATCATCGTGCTCATAATCTATTCACACTCTATAAAGTTTACAAGCTGACAGCCATGCAAAGGTATGGGCTGAAAGCTAGAGAGAGAGTGTACAGGAGCCTGAAACTGCACCAGCAATCTTCTGATTGTGGGTGTAATACTTTGCAGGCCCCTATTTAAATAAAATGATAAATGCGCATTTTTAACCTGCAAAAATGTGTTAATTTATTATTTTTGCAGGTGAACTTAGCCTTCAAACATGATTAAATGATGGTAGTCAGTAGAGCTTCAACTCATTCAATAAGCTCTGGGGATAATGTCCCTGCAAAGTGCAATTTCCCCTGCAAGGTGAACCATCTATTTGATTTTAGTAAATCAACCTGAGTGTAACTGCATGTTCAGTCTGTTAGCCTGTGCCTTTTTAGAGAGCCATCCCAACTCATCCCAACTGACTCAGCTTTGAGTAACAGAGGCTCCACACTTGGGGCTATAGTGCACGCTCTTGTACAGGAAGCTGTATGCTACACCTTCTGAGATGTGCAAGGCTGTGAAATGAAATAGATTTTCTTAAAAAGTACATTTTAAAAATGTTAAAAAGCACAAGTTTTTCCACTTACCA